TCCTTAATATACTACAAAACTTGACATCGTGCGCTTGCGATATAAAATCACGTTACATAAAACGCGTGGCACCTATACTCTGATGGGATTAGGCAGTACAACCAAAAATTCTTAGGTGGGAATAATTAGGCACATGTCCTGTCCATAACTCTTCAGGGGTTTTATCACCTAGAGCACTTGAGAGGGTCCTATTAACAATATATGAAGTTGTCATTACCGCTTCACCCCATAAAACCTTAGGAACACCTAAACCTATCAACATGCACCTAACCTTATCTAGTAAGGTTCTATTCACTCTCTCAACCACTCCATTCTGCTGACGTGTATAGGGTACTGTTTTATGCCTTTTAATCCCAGCCTCTTTACACAACTGATCAAATTTAGCATTGCAAAACTCTAGATCATTATCAGTCCTAAGAGTCTTAATTTTCTTCCTAGTTGCCCCCAGAGCATAACCCGGTGGTGCAAATGATAGGAGTAAGGTAGTCTCAGCCTTGCTGGCAGCCGCAATGTGAGGGTTCAATTCCTGAGATATGGAATTGGACTCTTTGTGGGCACCAGTGTACGGGCAAGCTCTTGTTCCCTGGCCTGTTGGGGCACATTTCGTGATTTACCTCCCTCATGATGCTCCAAAGGTGGGGCGGTGGGGGCCCTCAAGGTTGGGATTCAACCTTTAATTTTTTTCCCAATTTCATTTTCCACCAGAATCTTCCAAGTTCTGAATTTCTCAAAGGTTTCAGATTTATGTTTCAACAAATGAACCCAAACCTTCCCAGAGTAGTCATCAATCAAAGACAACAAATATCTGTTTCTTCCTTGAATGATAGTGGATGAAGGCCCCCATAAATCAGCATGTATATACTCAAGGACCAAGGTGGTTCTATGCTTTCCTCTGTTAAAATGCAGCCTATGCTGCTTACCTAAAGTGCAGTTTTCACAAAAGGACACCTTAGATATAGTCTTTCTCAAACAGACATTTCTTATGAAGGATGTGTAGGCCCTTTTCCCCTACACGGGCCAATCTCTTGTGCCATTTTAAAGTGGCATCAACTTCAACATTAGAAGACTCACCTATGTGGTCAAACACTGTACTAGCTTTGACCACATATATCCCGTTTCTTTTAACACCTTTAAAAATAACAAGTGATCCCTTTATCACCTTCAAAAAACCATCTCCTATTCTTTTATGCAGTCCCATATCATCCAGACTTCCCATGGAAATCAGGTTCCTATTTAATTCTGGGACATACCTAACCTTTTCAAGGGTGTAAATATATCCATTATCAAGTTTCAAAGTGACATTTGCAACTCCCTCAACTATGCAGGTTATATTATTGCTCATAACCACTTCACCTCCATCAGTTTTCTTAAAATTATCTAAATAGCTCTTCTTAGAGGTCATATGGAAGGTACAACCAGAATCCAAGATCCATTCTTAGTTCTGATTTCCTTCTTCTGCAACATTTACAGAGTTAGGTAAATGTTTAGTCACAGCATATACATCTACTGTGGTAGAACCTTCAGATTCTACCACATTTCCTTCATCAACACCCCTACCTTTCTTTTCATTTTTCTTCTTAAAACAGTCTTTAATAAAATGTCCAGTTTTCCCACACCCATAACACTTTTTGGTCCTAGTCCTTGACTTAGACCTGCCTCTACTTTTAAACTTTCTCCTATTATTGTTTCCCTGATTATTATAGCTCTCCTGAGTACCACTAGACCTACTTAGAGTCCTCCTTCTAACAAACAAGTTTTTAGGCCCACAATTACCTCTTTCAGACTTAAGTTCAAGTTCCTTACTCCTTAAAGAGTCTATGACAATATCACGTGTAAGAGTATCTCTACCATACTTAATGGCGGCTTTAACCTCTTTATAAGCGTCAGGTATAGCATTAAGTAACACTACAGCCTTATACTCATTGAAAACTTTCTCACTTGTATCAATGATATCTTGAATTAACTTATTAAAAATGTCTAGACTGTCTTCTAAGTTCTAGCAGGGTCTATCCTAAAGCTAAAAAATTTCTCTAACAGAAACAGCTTATTAGGCTGAGACTTAGGTAGGTAAAGTTTCTCTAGTTTATCCCAAGGGTCTTGGTAGTATCATGTTTTCCTACTTTTCTTAAAACTTGATCAAACAAATGCAAAATAATGGAGGTATAAGCAAGTTCATCAGATTCTTCATTTTAATCATCTGTTATGGTATCAAGAAATTCATCTGTTATTGCTTTGGAAATTTTTTGCTGAACTAAAATACCTCTTATTTTTTGTTGCTAAATGGGAAAATCCCCTTTTCCATCAAAAACACCAAGTTCAAAAGATGTTTTTTTGTCATCTTCATTGTTGAAAACTAACACAGTATTTTCAAAAAATTAAAACAAGATAGATGATCAACTTTTGAAAGTCTGTTGAATTTGACCTTCGCAAAAAATGATGTTTTAGATCTCAGAAGAATAAAATGCAATCAGATGAATGAATCACAATTATTTCTAGTTACAAGAAATTTCAACAATAACAAGATCAATTAATATATCAATGTAAACAATACAAGAACTAAGGAATTAATACAAAATAGGCAGAATCAATATCTCAGGTGCACAAATAAAAGTCTGCAGTAGCACAAGAGTGATCAAATTCACCAGGATTCCGTGAGAATCAAAGTTCTCAGGTCAAGGCTCAATTTGAAACACCCAATCAAATGATCACGGACAAGTATAATGAGATATCATGCACTGATGTAAGCAACTACAATATACAGCAGTTGGAACATATCAAGATAGAGGCATAAACATGTATATAATGTGTTATGTGTGTGCACGATCGTGTAGAGTTAAGAAAATGCAAACCGAAGGGTGATTAAATGATTAACCCCTGAGAACAATCAAGGATCTGTTATTTCAGCAAGGATGAATGTTCTCCAGGTCGCCAACAGCAGATCGAACTCATAAAAGTTCGCATTCAGAATTCCAGTTTTAAATCGAACCCACAGGATCTCAAATTTTAGGGTTCTTTTCCAGATTGAGGCCAAAAGTCACAAAACTTTCTCAATTTCCCACGGTCCAGGTACCGATCGGCTCAGCAAACCCCCAGATCAACACAGATCGAGACCTAGGGTTTCACGATCTAAAGTTGAATGCCTGAAAATTGATTTTCCAGTGTTCGGACTCCGATCGAAGACTCAAGAACAAATTATCAACGCTCTGATACTACTATTAATTCAAGATCCAAACTGTACAAGAAATATAATAGAGAACTTTACAGAAAATCTAAAACCACTGCATCTAGTTTTGATCTTTCATAGGCTCAGACCATAAACCTCTAAGGAACATCACAGAGGCACCGAACTCAACCATAGACCCTCACAATCCCAACTTCAGAGTAGCTACAATGGAACACAAAAATGGACAGACCACTTCACAACAGTTTACTCACACGGAGAGTTCTCAGATCAAGGACTTGATTATCACAAAGATATCACTAGATAATCTCACAAAGAGAAGATGAAAAAATCACGAAGACAGAAAGCCCTTGAAGATTCCAGAAAGAGACGACTCACAGAAAGAGAAGAAAAATGACGATTCAATCTCTAGGTCAAATAAAAGGGTCTTATTTATAGTTAAAACCATCAGCCATTGATCAGTGGGTTAATCCAACGGCTCCAGAGCGACTAAGAGTGGACTGGATTATTGGGCTTGGTTGAGTGGGCCATCTCATTCCATATTGGTCCTTTTTTATCATCACATCCTATGTTGGACAGGACCTTGGCATCACAGCCCAACAATGGGTACAACTTTTTTTACAACAAGGTTCACAGCGCGCACACATGCAACGGGTGGGGTCCACGATTATTTTATCTGATGTTATTTCTATGAATCAAGCTATGGGTGCAATATTTTTTACAACAAGGTTCACAGTGTACACACATGCAAGGGGTGGGGTCCACGATTAAAATAATCGTGGACCACACATTAGTGAGGAAGCTGTGAAAAAAGTTGTAAAGAAAATGCTGTACAATTAGCAATTTCCTATTTCTATTTTTCTACGGTAAAACAAACGATGCAACTTATTGATCTGGATCGTGCTCGTCTAGAAAATTGATTTTGATTTATTAACTGCACATGCTACATAATTATTTGACTAAATATATTTATTTTTCGATAAAATTTATAAAATTAAATATTTTAATTAAATTTTTGTAACACAATTTCTTTAGTGTAAATCACATTAAAAAAAGAACTTATTTGTTTGAGAAAAAATATATTATTGCACATTTAACAATTGAAATATAAATAATAAATAAAAACTGAGAAAAAGTACGTCACATTAACCATTCAAAAAAAAAAAAATTTAATTAATTTGTATATAAATTGACGTCGAAGAAAATCATGTGTATTTGATGTTTAACTATAAAATCAATAAGTAAAACTAATATAGATTTTAATTTTTCATAAAAGCTAAATATAGAATTTTTAAAAAAAGCTCCAGCTTGACAAACTATTTTTCAGTCAAACTGAACTCAAAGAGTGCAGGCACTCCTCACCTCTTCTGAACCGAATGCCAAAGGGAAAGTATCCCTTGTTTCTAGGACCAAGAAATCGAATCGGCATAGCTGATTAGGAATTCATCCTAAAGTATGTGTCATTGGCGGACCACACGAATAGATCTGAAAGGGTATGGTCCCTCGCCCATAAGCACTTCCATGACTGGATTCAAATAACTGTTTTTTATGAAGCATTGTGAAAGAACTTCTGGAGTCGCAAAAAACCCTCGTAAACACACATTAATACCTTGTTTAATTTTAATTTTTTCAAAATTATTTTTCCATATGAACTTTTCCCCAATCTTTAAGCACACATTCTTCCAAAAAAGAAAAATCAAACAATGGCTAAGTTTGAAAGTCACTTAAAAATTAACTTTTTTGAAAAGCTCAATTACCAAGTGTAGATTGTTCGATCATTGTATCCTGAAACTGATAGCGAGATGTGTTCCACAATAGATTCATGCAGTCGGAATTATGATTAAACAAACCAAAAGAAAATCTTCGACACAAGGAGACAAAATGTCGCATTTACAGTGTTATGAGAGTACGCCATTAACACCAATTTTGAGTTATATACATCATCGACCAACACAAGCAGAAGATATTACATAAATTCACAGACGCTTCAGGTAAATCTTACAAACCCATTTTTCTTTCATTGGATCATATATTCCGTTCATCGTCGAGATGCCAAGGACCAATAATTTAACAGAAACGATGGTAATGCACAAAACCAGCTAAGAAAGGACATAGCCGTAGCAGTCTCAAACTCTGTGCAGTGATTCCTACCACAGGCACCGAGATCATTGCCGATGAGAACGGTGATCCCAGCAGATGCACAGGCAGCAGCAAACGTAAGGGTAGAAATAACCTGCAACAGTATATAGATATCTAATTATAACTAGCAAGAACTCCATTCTTGACAAATCATCTAACATTAGATTGTACTTCAGTATGAAGAGAGAGAGGAGTCCAGGCAACGAAAATTAATGACTATTGACAAATTGTGAAAGGTGCTTCACGATTTCAACAAAATCAAGAGTTCTGTTTCGAAGGGGTTGAGGCGTTCGGGTTACTAAGCCAGAGGTCAATTACATGAAATGGGAAAACCATATGATGGGGGAAGGACATACGACTGATCAACTCTTGCACACTTGCCACATCATATTGGCTAGTCGTAGGAAGTTATATGCCAATGTTCTTTGATGAATATTTATATTAATAAATAAAAATAAAAAATAAAAAAAATAAAATTGTTTCCATCTTTACATGTTGCACTCAACTAGAACAGCACACTGTCCTGGAGAGTAAATCTACTTCACTGAAGTTGGGGATAAAGCCAGTCTTAGAGGTTGTTCGGTGGAGATTAAAATTAGATTTTTTAGTAGATTGTGATAGAAGTTATTGAAACGTGTAGTTGAAAGATTGTGGGACCCATGAAAGATGTGGTTAATATTGATTATTTGACTTTGACTTGGATTAAAATCGGATTTTAATCAAAACCAAACATGGGCTTATTCTCCTGAATCACTTTTACACGTCTAGTTGAATGTTATTTGGTCAAGTTTTTAATGAACGCAACCTGCTAAAATACAAGAATCTCCAATATGGATCTTTGCAAATTTTGGTGCCTTACCATTTCAGGCTCCACTTCTGAAGGTCGCATAACTTGCACTACTAAGTCTAGCATTTAAGACAGCACCTTAGATGACTAAGACAGGAAAAGTGAACAATAGAAAATTGCAACAAATGCATCAATGACTAAATTATTAATGAACGTATCAATTAACAGATCCAAGAATAGGTATAACAAATAACCAGACTGCTTAAACATAAACTTGGCAAACATTTCCACAGAGTGCGAAAAAGAAATTATCAGATAACACCAAGCATGGCAATGAAAGCACTAGGACAGGGAAGTACACTATTGGTGAATTGAGTGAGTCCAATGTTGAAATATTTAAGCAATTTGCGAAAAGTTTCAAATAGAATAGTCTCGTACCATACAACAGAAAACTAGTCTAACACCTTGCCAACGGAGTGCTTTGTCAAAATAATTTAAATTCGTTAGAGCAACCAGTAGGCACTGACTTACCCCATCACCAATAGCAAATAAACTAACAAGTTGATAATTCTGCAGGCGACGTCCCACAAGAAGAGCATATATGTCAACAATTGCTAGGGCAAGGCTCCACATGCTCTGCAAACCAGCAGCAGCAACAAGATAGCTGGAAAGGCAAATAATAGGAGTTCAATGCTTGGGTGATTTCAAGAACAACCAAAAGCAAGTTTTCTATTTAGAAAACAAATGGTGCTCAATAGAGAGAAAAGAGAGCCTTCTAATTAAATGTGTAAGATGGAGAAAGTCAGGGTTTTCCACCGTTTGCAACCCATAAGATATCTGTTCCAGACTATAATGAACTATATATATGTTATAAATCAAAATGCTTTGTGTTCACTAATTATTATTATTTAGTCTGAACAAGATCTGGTCTTGTTACTTTATGTTTCGGAGTTATTTGATCCTTTAATCATGTCCTACCCAAAAATATCTCAAAAATAAGCAAGAAATGGTTTAGATTTGAGAATAAATTCTCTTGTAGAGAATTAGCATGTTTCTATGCATCCAAAAGGCGTCTTCATGTGGTTTCTTGCTTCTCCCTCATTTGATATCGAGGCATCCATGTATGTACGAGGTCAAATTTAGCAAGGTAAGAAAAGGTGGGATAACATTTTCCTCTTCAAATGAACTCCAGTGAAATTCCATTTTTTTCCCCTGGGCATGGACAAGAGTCACAACAGCAGATCTAGATGCCATCTTGATTTAATATAAACTGCTGATATTGGATATTTTGCAACAAAAGAAAGCCACGCTTACTTATAATTACAATGAAGAAATAAAATTTGTTTTGAGATAGTTGGATATACATATGCTAAATATAACAAATAAGTAGAGCAAACACAACTAAGTAAAATAAATTACGGCTCAAAAATGGTGCAAAATCTATCGAAGGAGAACTATTTATGGTCGTTGAAAGTGATTGGCTGAAAGAGCAGGTGTGATTTGAAAGGATACATCTTTATACTCAAAAGACATGTTTATTTTCACTTTTCAAATAACGTATCTTATATCCAACTATTTGTCTCGAAGACACACGCTCACACAATATACGTCTTTTGTATGAAAATGTCTGTCTTCCATGGCTCTTGCGATGTCTTAAAATAGAAAACAAATCTCTTCTGAAACGACATTTATAGCTCTAGAGATATGTTTGCTAAGAAACAGACATGTTTCCTAAAGATGTGTCTTTTAATAGGCAAAATAACCAACCACGTGTCATCTTACGATTTATGATACGTGTGCGATTGACAACGCCTCTCATTCATGTATTTCATATGCAACACCTTGATGAGAGCCGTAAAAACTAATTACTCACTTCCAATTTTCATCATCAAATATAGTTTTTACTCTTTAATGCATAAATATATTACTTTTAGTAATTCAAACCATTTTCACAACAATTTCAACTCTCTTTTAAGTATATTATCTTTTTGAAAAGAAAAGTAATCGTAATAGGAGGCCGAGTCAACCTCGAACCTTTCTCCTTTTTTCTTTTCGCTTGAATATATCAGCAAGACTCAAAATATCACTGAATTTAAATAATTCAGCTCAACTCTCATGCTAACAAACAATTCAAAGCAAGCTGCTGAAATTGGACTAAATTATACACAAAAATCTCTTATGATTGTATGTGGTAAAGATAAATTACCAGAAGGCAGTGACAGATGGAAAGTCACTGGTTGTGGCCATGACCGAGAGCGCAACGACCGCGAATAACATCTGAGAAAATCGCAAGAAGAGGCCGCCTACAGTCCCCGGCATGCCCTGAAGGTCCTTCATCCTGTTCCACGGCAGTGGCACGTTCGCCCTCTCCGTCTGCAGCGGCGGCGCGTCCACTGGGTGCACCGTCCCCTGACTCCCATTCATCTCTCTAGTAAATAAATCACAATAAGTATCGATTCAAAACTTCAACTACATACATATGCCTATCAGCATATGTGTGTATTGAAGTGGATCTACTTGATTTGCAAATCCGTTTTAGCGATCTGCGAAATAGGATTTCAGATTATTGCTGGCTGGTTGGGGGCTCGAAGTGCTTCGGCGAATTGAGAACGTCGTCGTTTTGGATGTAAATCAGTGGCGATGAAAGGATGAAAAACTGTGAATTGAGTCGTCTCAATTTGAGTGAAGAATCGTCTTCTAGGGCAACTGTTAGTTTGTTGGGTCAGACACCAACTGTTCAACCGGTAGAGTGTCCATTTGGGGAAAAATTACAAATCGAATTTCCCTTTTTTGTGTTGCTCTTTGCGTCTCATAGCGTACGATGTCAAAATGTCTCGAAATTTCCTGCATTTAAAACGGCGGAGACACTAAATTCCAAAATAGAAAATTATTTTGACATAATTTGATAGAGAAAAAAAAAATGAAGTATATTAGAAGGATTCTATTTATAAATTCTCATATATCTCTTCAAATGATTGAATCTTTTACATTTAATATTGTTGACACACAAAAAGTTCAGCTCAAGTCGAATAGCCTAAGGAATGAAGCACAATTGGAAGATCTCCAAAATCAAATAGCCTAAAGAACGACCCAATCAGGCAACGTAGGATAAAAGCCCAAATAGAGAAGCCTATGAACGCGGTAATACCATCGCCCAAGATTACAAGTCGCCCAAGATTTGTGCGAATGGATTGCTATACAGTCATCCAGAACTGTGCCCCTGTTCTCGCCCAAACCTTCGAGTCGCCCAAGATTTTAGCAAACGTAAGATGATATGGTTACCCAAAGGTGCGATTAATGAAGCGATTATTGAGTAGCCCTATCACGTTCCACAATTCCAGGAATTCAATTAAAGACGGTTGAACGACAAAAGTAATGGCAGCAGTTAGAGAATGCAGTTCCATGACAAGTTGGCCACTACGAGGAAAGTGGGCAGTTATAGAGCGATCAAGCAGTTTTTAAGTGGTTGATCACGAAGAGATCATTCGGGGAGTATAAAATGAAGAAAAGACATAGAGCAAAAGACCCCGAATCAAACACTCTCAAACAGAGAACATGTAACTTTAAATTTCTTAGTTTAGATTTAAACACTTCTTTTCAGTAACTCGTGTGCTTGCCCCCCTTGGAGGCATTCTATTTTTATTTTCCAATTGTAAAGTCATCACCAATAAAAACACCATTTTTTTGGACTTTGTCTCAAGAGGTTTGTCCCCTATACAATCATCCGATCCCTTTTTAATTGTTAGCGACTAACCCGCGTGAAACAATTTGGAGTTATCCTTCTGTGATAAGTCAACGTGTAGCATATTGCACTGAGTCTCTGTCTCCTGAATTTCCTTTTTACTGTTTTCTGATGCTTCATCTTCAGTTACCCAACCTGTGGGAGGAGGCATTATTCTTGGAGGTGATCCATACTTTTCAGAGCGAGGCACTCTTTTCTTCCTTTTGGGCGTCCCGTACAGCACGTAAAAATCGAAAGAACGCTCAGATGGTTCTCCCAATAAATCTACTTCACGAACTCCCTCTCGATGTAGTTGCTTCAACAGAGTATTGTACGATACTCATCTCCTTCTTCTTTATGCTTCTAGGTCAATTTCCTCTTCAATGTCTGTCATACCATCATCTTCCTCACCATTGTAGGCCTCTCTAGAAGTCTGGCCTTCTTCATATTCCAGCACGCATGCTTCTCCTTCGTTATCCTCTCTTTCTTCTTCTTCTTTCTCTTTATTCTTGAACTCATTGGCTAGTAAATAGTTATTAACCACAACAGGAGGTAACGTACTGAACTGAATAGTAAGGGGTTGATCTGGATCTTCTCCATCCCTTCTGTCTCGCTCAAACTTCGATCTCCCAGAAAAAGTTTCTGGCAACTCTTTCATTGATTCATCTGTACCAGTCTCTTCACTATCTTTGAGAACATTTTGATTGGCTACCTCCAGTAGTTTAGGCGCCTTAGGACGTGGCACTCCCTGTTGTTGTCTCATCATTCGTCCATAATTTTGTTGGAAACGCTTTTGTTGGGTTCTAGTCATCTCATTGAAGGGTATCACCTTTCCTGCATTATACTGGAACGAATACCATACATTTGGCCGGCGAGGTTGCGGCCTGAATGTTCTCCCATTATTTACTGGCCTGAACTGCCTCTCAAAAGGCGGTCCCTTATAGAACGATATACCTCGCTCTCTAACAGGCTGAGCATTTGGGAAGAAAGTAGGGCGATGGAGATGCTGCCATATCCCTGGTTTCTCTGTATTCCCACTCACTTCTCTTTTACATCTTACACACAAGACATCTTCATCCTTTTTTGGCTCTTTCCCTTTAATACGCTCAAAGACGCTGGGATGTGGTCCAGAGTCTTCTTCTCCATCATCTATAACTAATTTGAATTTCGGCAACTTGTTTTTGAAACCAGACGTCACCATATTCACTCCAAGTGGCTGTGGAAAAGGATTTTCATCCACTGCCATTTTTTTCTTATCATCGAACGTAATTCGTCCCGATTCAATGACATCCTGTAACACATGGCGAAAAACCAAGCAATTGTTAGTCAAATGTGACCATGCATTATGCCACTTACAATATTTTTTACCTTTAATTTGTTCAGGGTTTGGCAATTTATGCTTATCGCTCGACTTTATCTACTTATCCTTATATAATTTATCAAATATAAGGTCAGCTTTGGTTAAATCGAATGAGAATGTTCTAACTTTTATGTTTTCATCTTTCATAGACTCATCCTTGCCCGATGGTCTAGGCTTAGCCATTATAGGACAAGTATACGTGTCTCCTTTGACTAATTCGGCCAAACATATTTCGGTCTGATCGTATGACTCATTATTGATGGTATGAACATCAAAATTTCGGTCTCTATAATAAGTCCCTTGCTAGAATTTTTTATCTGCTCTTCTTCTTTTATCAATCGTTCATACCTAATCACGTTCGCGCTAAATTGGAAAAGGTCAGGAAATTCCTTGTCATGGAATTTCTTTTTCAAATCAAAGCTCAAACAACCTTGAGCGATTTTGACAAACTCTTTTTCGGGCAGAGGTACAAAACATTTACTTCTTGCTGTCTTAAACCTTTGGAGGAAACCTTCTGCCCATTTGTTTGGCATTTGACGTACGTTCGTCAAATCGGCCAAAGTAACTTCAGACTCAGTCTTATAAAACTGAGCGTGGAATAATTGTTCCAATTGTTGTCATGTTTGAATAGAGTTCGCTAGCAAATTGATGAACCAGGAGAAAGCTACTCCTATTAATGAACAAGGAAAAGCCTCATTTTATGATAATCAGTTACATCACCACTTTGCAGTGTGAATCGCCCTATGTGTTCTAGAGTAGACACCTCCCCTAAATCGGTAAACAGTGAGAATCCTGGCACTTTATATCCTCTAGGCCATGGATATGCTTGGTCTACCCAATCAGGATATGACTTTGTGTAAGTCGGCCTAATAATAGGACGTACCCCAAAAGCCATCTGGTCCTGTACGATTTCCATAATCTGATTCCTCAACATGACGTTGAGGTCATATGGAATCCCTACAGATTGGTTGACCGGTTGATCTGCTTGAGGCCTGATGTTTGGTCCTTGATTGGGAACAAAGTTACCATTATTTGGGCCATTGTTACCATTAGCCTGAACATTTGTTCCCTCATTAACACGTGGGGTATTCTGCCCGTTATTTAGGACATTTTCTCTTACATTTGGATTACCCCCCAAGTTAGGCGTACCACTACCATTATTCTGATTTGGCATTACACCATCCCCTTGGTTTGAAGTAGAGGGACCGAAATGTGGTTCTACCCCTTGACTTGGATTTAGGACTGGGGGATTATGTGCAAGGATAAGACGAAAGAAGAGGCAGCCCTGAAAGCATTGAAAGACAAATTAACAGTATTCGAATTAGAACAAAGTATTGGCCGAGAAGTCAATAAGGTGGATTGTTTAGAAGAAGAAGTGCTTACAAGGGAGCTGGACGATGAAGTAATGCAGATCATCAAGCCTGGATACGCTCAAGTACAAGACCCTCTGATTAAAGTAAATATTGGCAATGAAGGAGAAGATCGTCCAACATTCATCAGCCAGATACTCGATCAAGAGGTTAGTGATAAATTAATCGCTTTGTTAAAGGAGTATAAAGATTGTTTTGCTTGGGAATATGAACAAATGCCTGGTTTAGATAGAGACTTGGTGGAACATAGATTACCAACTAAGCCTAATTTTAAATCTCATAGGCAACCTCCCAGACGTTTTGCTCCTAATGTACTCCCTGAGATTAAGAAAGAGATAGAGCGATTATTAAAAGCAGACTTTATTAGAACAGTCAGGTATGTTGATGATTGTCCAATATCGTGTCAGTACTAAAAAAGAATGGTAAACTAAGGGTGTGCATAGACTTTAAGAATTTAAATATAGTCACACTCAAAGATGAGTATCCAATGCCCACGGTAGATTCTTTAGTAGACTCAACTGCCGGACACGTCATGTATTCTTTCATGGATGGGTATTCAGGATACAATCAAATTTATATAGTTGAAGAAGACATACATAAAACTGCATTTAGATGCCCTGGGTCTCTAGAATATTTTGAATGGTAGTCATGCCTTTCGGCCTGAAAAATGCAGGAGCAACTTATCAAAGGGCAATGAATTTTATTTTTCATGATATGATAGACAAGTTTGTTGAAGTGTATGTAGATGATATAGTGGTCAAATCCATTAAAGAAGAGGACCATTTCGAACAGTTAAGATGTTCATTTGAGCGAATGAAGCAATATAAGTTAAAGTTGAATCCCTTAAAATGTGCATTTGGTGTTAATGCAGGGAACTTTCTTAATTTTTTGGTACACAAAAGAGGGATTGAATTTGATAAAAATAAAGCGAGGGCCATTTTAGAGGCCAAACCACCTAGCAATAAAAAAGAATTGTAAAGGTTTCTAGGCGAAGTAAACTTTTTAAGACGCTTTATTTCTAACTATGCAGGGTGAACTAAAATCTTTTCACCGCTTTTAAAACTGAAAAATCAGGACGAATTCATCTGAAAAGAAGAACATCAAAAGGCTTTTGAAAGCCTGAAAACATATTTATCAAGTCCACCAGTGTTGGTGTCACCAATCCAAGGACGGCCAATGAAAATGTATATATCGGCTGAAAAAAAATCAATAGCTGGAATGGTCATGCAAGAAGACCAATTTGGTGAAGAGAGGACGATTTACTCCTTGAGTAGACGGTTAACAAAATGTGAATATAATTACTCTACTATCAAAAAATTATGTCTTGCATTGTATTTCACATGTACAAAATTAAGGGCTTATTTACGGCCCGTAACCGT